CTGACAATGCCCACGTGCATGGCAGCTGGATGCTGGAATACATCGGGTAAAAGTGAAAAAAAAAATGACTTAGTTCACCTTTCCGATTCCTGACGGGACGGGAAGACTGGAAGAAATGTAACCCTGCCTCTAAAGCATCTCAGAGAATAGATGAAAACTCTTTCTTGCTTTGACTAAATCAAAGGTTTAGATTTAAACAATCTGAAGTCACATGACCCATTTGGCTTTTTTTATTTTAGAGACGAGAAGAATCAGTCGATCATCGTTAGCGGAGAATCCGGAGCAGGAAAGACGGTTTCGGCCAAGTATGCCATGAGGTACTTTGCCACGGTGGGCGGCTCCTCCAGCGACGCCAACGTTGAGGAGAAGGTCCTGGCCTCCAATCCAATCATGGAGGTCAGTTTTTCTGTTGGTTCAGAGGCTCCATGGCGTTAGCCTGTTTAGTCTGGAGTTTTTAAGATGTTTCTACCTCTGAGTTGAAACAAAAGGGAAACATCTGAAGCAAACTTTCTCATCAGGCCATTGGGAACGCCAAGACCACCAGGAACGACAACAGCAGCCGCTTTGGGAAGTACATCCAGATCGTGTTCAGCAGGCATTACCACATCATCGGAGCCAACATGAGGACCTACCTGCTGGAGAAGTCCCGCGTCGTCTTCCAGGTGAGCTCCGCTCTCTGCAGCGCCCCCTGCTGCTCGCCACCCCTCCGCTCTGAGCTGAAGGTTTACCGTCTGCTTTCAGGCAGAAGAAGAGCGGAACTATCACATCTTCTACCAGCTGTGCGCCTCGGCCGCTTTACCCGAGTTTAAGGAGCTCGGCCTCAGTGAGTCCACCTCTGACCGTCTGATCAGGTCCTCAGACGCTTCCAGCTGCTGATTTCACTTGTTTCTTCCCCCTCAGCGAGTGCAGAGGACTTCACCTACACCTCTTTAGGGGAGAACATCTTCATTGAAGGAGTAAATGATGCTGAGGACCTTAAACGGACCAGAGAGGCCTTCACCCTACTGGGTAAAACATTTCCTCACCTTCTGTGAGGAACCTGCCGGTGGAAAGTAAAGGAACAGGCATAGAATCCTTTTGTTGTGTTTCCAGGTATAAAGGAGAGCAATCAGAGCGGCATCTTTAAGATCTTGGCCTCCATCCTTCACCTGGGGAACGTGGAGATCATCTCTGAGCGTGACGGAGAGTCCTGCCACGTCGGTGTAAGTCTGCCAGCCCATCGGCGGCCGTCTGGCTTTCTGTCCGCTCTCTAAACCCCGGCCCGTTTGTTCCGCAGAGGAACGACGTCCACCTGGAGCACTTCTGCAGACTTCTGGGCGTGGAGCTGAAGCAGATGGACCACTGGCTGTGCCACAGGAAGCTGGCCACCGCCTCGGAGACCTACGTGAAGACCATGTCGTGCAAACAGGCGAACAATGCGCGTGACGCTCTGGCCAAGCACATCTATGCCCGCCTCTTCGACTGGATCGTGGAGCACATCAACAAGGCGCTGCAGACGTCCTCCAAGCAGCACTCCTTCATCGGCGTCCTGGACATCTACGGCTTCGAGACCTTCGAGGTCAACAGCTTCGAGCAGTTCTGCATCAACTACGCCAACGAGAAGCTCCAACAGCAGTTCAACTCGGTGAGTCCTGCAGAACCGGGCCGCCCCCCCGGGCATTGGCGCTGTCTCTAACCGTCCCTCCGCTCCGTGTCTGCAGCACGTCTTCAAGCTGGAGCAGGAGGAGTACATGAAGGAGCAGATCCCCTGGACCCTCATCGACTTCTACGACAACCAGCCCTGCATCGACCTGATCGAGGCCCGGCTTGGCATCCTGGACCTGCTGGACGAGGAGTGCAAGGTAAGGTTCTGGACCTCCTGTCACCCGGTGACTAGACGGACCTAAAACGGAATAAAGAAGAAGAGTTCTGCTGGTTCTGGTTCCTGTGCCTCACCAGGTCATGCTTTAGCCTCTTGTTCTTTAGAACTAGAACTTCTTTGGACCTTTTGTTGCAACAGAACCAGATTCAGATACAGGCTGATGGACACAGAGAGGTTCAGCCCGGGTTCTGAAGGTTCTGAACCGACCTGATTGTTTCCAATGAGGGACCAGGAAGGGATTCTATCAGACCCGGTCTTTCCGTCACGTCTAACTGGGTTCTGTTCTTCAGGTTCCAAAGGGAACGGATCAGAACTGGGCCCAGAAGCTCTACAAGCAGCACTCTGGCAGCGCACACTTCCAGAAACCCAGAATGTCCAACACGTCCTTCATCATCATCCACTTCGCCGACAAGGTGAGCAGAACCGGGTGCTGGGAGGGAAGATCAGAGCTCAGAACCGCAGAACGGATCGGGTCAGAACAAAGAGGTTCTGAGTAAAATATCAGTGGAAAAGTTCCAGACCTCAGAATCTAAAACTCATTTTCAGCCTGATTCTGGGTCCAGAAAATTAAAACCAGAACCGGGTCTGGACTCCTTCAGCCTCCGGTTCTTATGGTTACCTTCAGGTCATCTGGGTTGGTTGGTTCTCTGTGTGGTTCTGGTAGGTCCAGTTTGCTGGCCAAAGGGCCCAGTATCGCCATGGTTACTGGTCCAGCTTTTAGTACCTGGCAGTTTGGGCCGGTTCCAGGTCCGGTTGAAGGAAGCAGGAGACGTCTTTGGACTTCAGAAGACGGTAAAACCTGAACAAGAAGTTTCCGCTTCTGTTCTTCTTCACTCTTCTTCCAAACTTTGGAATCTTGATCTTCATCTAAAAGTATTTTGGACTTTAGAGCAAACAGCCTGGTTCTGGTTTTCCTCGGGTTAGAGGCTTGTAGCCTGTGCAAAGGTTCCGTTTCTGCATGATGGTTCTGGATGTTCCAACTCCAGTCTCAGTCCATTTCCAGTGATGCTTTGTTCCTAAACATCTTCTCCAGGCCACAGCTGTCACACTTTTTCCTTCCACTCAACCTTCTGTGAATAATCTCTAGAAATGAGCTTCGGATCATCCTCTCTGTCTTTATCAATCCAAACAGCTCCTTTGTTTTCTGGAACATTGATGTGCTGGAAGACCCAGCCACCTTCCCTTCTTCAAAGTTCTCACTGATGGATGGAAGGTTTGCTCTTAACCCTTTAAAGCCCGATCCAAGAATAAAACAAAACAGAAAATTACTTTTTTTTGGTCCTTATTTGGCCTTTTAACAGAATATGTAAAAAGAAAAAACAGAAATAAATTTTTGAT